ATGTCTATATAATAATATCACTGGATAAAATTGGAAGACTTAAAATATAAGTAGTTTAAGTACATTTTCAAAATGGTATTGTCTTTAAATAATAATAATAAAATTCAACATAAAGTGCAGTTTTTCTTCTTAAAAAAAAAGCGCAGAAACATAAAAGGTTATTTGAGCAGCTTCACCTTTAAACTCTGAGTAACCTTAGCCAACATTATTTTGTACATTAGGCTAAAACAGTGTGATCATCGAACATTTTAGTGCAAAAATAACAAACCCGTTGGACTCACAATACCTCCATGCTTATTTACTGTCGTCTCTTTCAGCCAGTTACTTGGACAAACTAGCCTGTTCACATTTTCAGAGCTAAGCAGCTCTCTTTTTTGTTACTATGTGACCTGCAAGTGAGAACAGTCTCTCACATGGGGCAGAAGTGGCAGGACTAATCAAATATTTGGGCCAGGACAGACAAGCTGTGGGTGGGTCCCTGCTCGACTGGACCACCACTGATGGTGGATTCTGCTCTGTACAAACTCAGGGCCCTGTTACACAGGGCTTCCTCATCTGAATCAGAGTCTGAAGACAATGAAGAGAGGAGGAGGCTCTTTGTCTTTGCTGGCTCCTTTGTGGTGGCATCTTTACACTGTTCCTGCAGCAGGGCCTAACAAGGCTGGTGCCAAACCTCTTCTCGCTCTCCCCTTGCAAGACACTTTAAATCCTTAAAGCGTGGGTCAAGCACAGTAGCTATCTTGAGCAACTGATGGTTGAGTGTAGCTACACGTTGGGATAGGTCCTTTGTGAAGGCAGTCTTAAATTTCACCATGTAGTTTGAGTCATCATCAGGAGACCTCCATGGTGTGATGCAGGTGGCAGAAAGCAGGTAGAACCACTGAACATGAGACACATGTCTCACCTCCAAGAAGCTCAGTCACAAACCTGTAGTAGACAGTTCAAGAAAGTAATTATTAATCTAACAATAACTGTCAACTATGACTTTTTGAAGAAACAGTAACAATAAGTAAAAAAATAGTTACAGTGGCTTGCAAAAGTATTCGGCCCCCTTGAACTTTTCCACATTTTGTCACATTACAGCCACAAACATGAATCAATTTTATTGGAATTCCACGTGAAAGACCAACACAAAGTGGTGTACACGTGAGAAGTGGAACGAAAATCATACATGATTCCAAACATTTTTTACAAATAAATAACTGAAAAGTGGGGTGTGCGTAATTATTCAGCCCCCTGAGTCAATACTTTGTAGAACCACCTTTTGCTGCAATTACAGCTGCCAGTCTTTTAGGGTATGTCTCTACCAGCTTTGCACATCTAGAGACTGAAATCCTTGCCCATTCTTCTTTGCAAAACAGCTCCAGCTCAGTCAGATTAGATGGACAGCGTTTGTGAACAGCAGTTTTCAGATCTTGCCACAGATTCTCGATTGGATTTAGATCTGGACTTTGACTGGGCCATTCTAACACATGGATATGTTTTGTTTTAAACCATTCCATTGTTGCCCTGGCTTTATGTTTAGGGTCGTTGTCCTGCTGGAAGGTGAACCTCCGCCCCAGTCTCAAGTCTTTTGCAGACTCCAAGAGGTTTTCTTCCAAGATTGCCCTGTATTTGGCTCCATCCATCTTCCATCAACTCTGACCAGCTTCCCTGTCCCTGCTGAAGAGAAGCACCCCCAGAGCATGATGCTGCCACCACCATATTTGACAGTGGGGATGGTGTGTTCAGAGTGATGTGCAGTGTTAGTTTTCCGCCACACATAGCGTTTTGCATTTTGGCCAAAAAGTTCCATTTTGGTCTCATCTGACCAGAGCACCTTCTTCCACATGTTTGCTGTGTCCCCCACATGGCTTGTGGCAAACTGCAAACAGGGACTTCTTATGGTTTTCTGTTAACAATGGCTTTCTTCTTGCCACTCTTCCATAAAGGCCAACTTTGTGCAGTGCACGACTAATAGTTGTCCTATGGACAGATTCCCCCACCTGAGCTGTAGATCTCTGCAGCTCGTCCAGAGTCACCATGGGCCTCTTGGCTGCATTTCTGATCAGCGCTCTCCTTGTTCGGCCTGTGAGTTTAGGTGGACGGCCTTGTCTTGGTAGGTTTACAGTTGTGCCATACTCCTTCCATTTCTGAATGATCGCTTGAACAGTGCTCCGTGGGATGTTCAAGGCTTGGGAAATCTTTTTGTAGCCTAAGCCTGCTTTAAATTTCTCAATAACTTTATCCCTGACCTGTCTGGTGTGTTCTTTGGACTTCATGGTGTTGTTGCTCCCAATATTCTCTTAGACAACCTCTGAGGCCGTCACAGAGCAGCTGTATTTGTACTGACATTAGATTACACACAGGTGCACTCTATTTAGTCATTAGCACTCATCAGGCAATGTCTATGGGCAACTGACTGCACTCAGACCAAAGGGCCGAATAATTACCGCAGCTCAAGGACAGCACCAGCTTTTGGAGTTTTACCAGCTCTGATGGAGTTAAAATGACTCAGCTTGTTCTTTTGTTTGATCAAAGCATGCAAAAACAGCCTCTTGATTTCTTAGTAGAAGAAGAGAAACTATCCAGCATTGAATTCCACGTGTGGAAACATCCTGTATGAGTGGCTCTCTCTGTTACCCCAGTCTTCATTGCTCCTGGTGTAGTTCCTCCATATTAGCACGACTGTCTGTAATGCATCTAATTTTGCTTACTTTTAGGTGTCATAAAGCTGTTAAATTTTACTTGAAATAGTCTGCAGTTGGAAAGTTGGATCACCCAATGCTAACTGTAACACATTTTCTAACCATAAAGAAATGGTAACACAAATATACACAATATAAAACGGTTACAAAATAGAATTAATAAAATTCATGATTCTATTTGTTTCTATTTGCTGTAGATGATTTTGACACTGTCACAACTTTTTATATGAACCGAGAATGTGGTTGTTTCTACCTTTACACACATCCTTTCATTCTTTATATTCTGAAATAAAATAATGCAAAAAAAAATAGTTTTTTTAGATTCAGTTCGAAGAGTCAGAGTTTTCATGTACAGTACACCTGCAGTAAACCTACTGTATGAGTAGGATAGTGCCTGCTGCTCAACACAAGCAATAAGAAAGCAATTAAATTAAAAGAAGGCAAGATACAAACAGATATGGCACAAATTTATAGCAGAACAGTCTTCTTTGTTCTGGGGCAGAAAATGTGAGCTGGTGCAAAATCTGTTTAATTTTTTGTTGGCGCCATGCTTTTCAAATAAATTTTCCCACGCTGACAAGCGGACACTTTGCAGGATATACAATGCTCAGAAAGCTCATACAGCTTGTGGAACTATGTGGTAACCATTTGTAATTTCAACATAAAGTGCAGTTTTTCTTCTTAAAAAAATAAAGCAGAAACATAAAAGGTTATTTTACCAGCTTCACTTTAAAACTGAGTAACCTTAGCCAAAATTCTTTTTTACTTTAGGCTAAAACAGTGATCATCGAACATTTTAGTGCAAAAAATAACAAACCCATTGGAATCACAATAAATCCATGCTTATTTACTTTCCGTCTCTTTCAGCCAGTTAGACAAACTAGCCTGTTCACATTTTCAGAGCTAAAGGCAGCTCTCTTTTTTGTTACTATGTGACCTGCAAGTGAGAACAGTCTCTCACAGGGGCAGAAGTTGCAGGACTAATCAAATATTTGCGGCTAGGACATACAACTGTGGGTGGGTCCCTGCTCGACTGGACCACCACTGATGGTGGATTCTGCTCTGTACAAACTCAGGGCCCTGTTACACGGGACTTCCTCAACTGAATCAGAGTCTGAAGACAATGAAGAGAGGAGGAGGCTCTTTGTCTTTGCTGGGTTCTTAATGGTGGCATCTTTACACTGTCCCTGCAGCAGGGCCTCAAGGCTGGTCCAGACCTCTTCTCACTCTCCCCTTGCAAGACACTTTAAATCCTTAAAGTGTGAGTCAAGCACAGTAGCTGTCTTGATCCACTGATGGTTGAGCGTAGCTGCACGTTGGGACAGGTCCTTTATGAAGGCAGTCCTAAATTTTACCATGTAGTTTCAGTCATCATCAGAGACCACCATGGTGTGATGCAGGTGGCAGAAAGCAGGTAAAACCACTGAACATGAAAGATATGTCGCACCTCCAAGAAGCTTAGTCACAAACCTGTAGTAGACAGTCCAAGAAAGAAATTATTAATCTATACAATAACTGTCAACTATACAGCTTTTTGAAGAAACAGTAACAATAAGTTAAAAAAATAGTTTTACAGTGGCTTGCAAAAGTATTCGGCCCCCTTGAACTTTTTCACATTTTGTCACATTACAGCCACAAGATTGAATCAATTTTATTGGAATTCCACGTGAAAGACCAACGCAAAGTGGTGTACATGTGAGAAGTGGAACAAAAATCATACATGATTCCAAACATTTTTTATAAATAAATAACTGAAAAGTGGGGTGTGCATAATTATTCAGCCCCCTGATTCAATACTTTGTATAACCACATTTTGTTGCAATTACAG